CCCATAGCTAATGATGTATGTCAAGTTCATACCAGACCAAACATGGATATTCTCCCATATGTGCTCCATCATACCACCCTTCACAAAATGTCCTCAATGTTTGACATGTAGTACTTCACAAACTTAAGACAGTCCTATCAGAGTCCACAAGTTAAGTTGAAACTGTGCCAGGACTGAAACAAAGTTGCTGTGTAATCTGAATAGTTCAAAAGGGTTCTAAGAATTAAAAAATAGTTGACAAGCAGTGCATGATAAATTCCAAATTTTGTAAAAGTTAGTAGTTGCTTGTAAAAAATAAAATGCATTTGAACTGTAAAGTTAATTAGCCAGATGTGTTGCATAATATTTCCTATTACTGTTAGATAAGAAACACCTGTCCGTCACACCAAACCCTCTTCCACAGAATCAACTTCCCTTTGTTCTCAGGGGCCAATTTAATCTGATTTATGCTTCTGTGAAGCAGCTTGAGATTTTTTTATATTGAGGGGATTCTATAACGGCAAGTTGATTGAACTTGAAGTAAATGAAGGGTGACTGAATGCTTGCTGAAAGAGTGAAGTTGCAGAGGATTTTAAAAAATAAAAAAAGAGATTGGAATGTTTAGCTGGAGAATTCCAGAGCTGCCACCTTGATATGGCCACCAATGATGCTGCAAAAGGAATGCAGGAGGTAAAACAGACCAGGATTGGAAGACATTGCAGCGATAAAGAGGGGTGCAGTCATGAGGAACTTAAGAGGATCAGAATTTTCAGTTAGAGGCATTTAGTTCTCACATATTGGCTGGGGAAGTGACAAGAGCCTTTTGTCACCATTTTAAGAATGACCCACCATCAGAATCTAAAACCACAGGATGGTCGTTGTGTGTGCGTGTTGGGAGTGGGGCGTGGTGTTCTCAAAGCGGAGAGCTGCTGCCAATGGGAGGACGGTAGTTCTTTGAAAATCCATCCCACCAGGAAGGCAGTGCTTCCTTTTGGAATGATAGATAGCCAGACCACAGATATGTGATCACGTGACAAACAAACAGTCTTCTGGGGGCCACAGAAGAGCGGATCATCTGGAATGGCATGTGGGTGTTCTCAGCAGCCCCTACCCCCACCCCCCTTTCCTGATGTGAGGTCTGTTGATCAAGTACTCAGTGCTTTTGAATGAATGATCTTCTCCCTGGAACCTGCTGGCATCTCCCACAGAAGGTTGGAACATAGGATTTAGGAGCAGCGGAAGACCGTTTGATCATTTTTGCCTGTTCCACCATCCAATAAGATCATGTCTGATCTGGTTGTGTTCTTATCTCCACTTTCCTAGCTAACTCAGCCTTGAATCAGTTTAAAGATGTAACATTCACTACATTTGGCAAAGGTAATTGAACAGATTAGTACCCCCCATTGAGAAAAACTAATTCTTCATCACTGTCTTAAAAGGGAAACCACTTCTTAAGTTATATCCCCTAGTTTTAGTCGCCCCACAAGTTGAATCATCCTCCCAGTGACCAATCTGTCAAGTCTCCTCAAGATCATGTATGTTTCAATTTTAATATGAAACAGTGTTTTAAACTCAAATGGTTATAGACCTAACCTATTCAGGAATGACTGGAGTGAATATTCTCTGAACTGCTTCTAAAGCAATTATATCATTTTTTTTTCCAATACGAAGGTCAAAATGTGCACAGATGTGCTGTAATAAAACTTCCATATTCTTTTCTTAAATATTCATTCATTCATTCATTTATGGGATGTGAGCATCATTGGCTGGGCAAGCATTTATTGCTCATCCCTATTTGCCCTTGAGAAGGTGATTGTGAGCTGCCTTTTTGAAACTCTGCAGTCCATTTACTGTAGGTACACTCACCATGCCTTTAGAGATAGAGTTAGACTTTGACTCAGTAGCACTGAAGAAATGGAGATTTATTTCCAAATCAGGATGGTGAGTGACTTGGAGTGGAGCTGGTGGTGATGTTCCCAATTATCTGCTACCTTTGTCCTTCCAGAAGGTCATGGTTGGGGCTTGGAAGATGTGTCTAAAGAGCTTTGGTGAAATTCAGCAGTGCATCTTGTAAATATTATACACTGCTGCTACTAAGCATTGAGTTGGAGGGAGTGAATGTGGTGCCAGTCAAGCTGGCTGCTTTGTCTTGGATGGTATCAAGCTTCTTGAGTCCTAGGTGCTGCAATCAACTTGAGTATTCCATCACACTACTGACTTGTGCCTTGCAGATGGTGGACAGGCTTTGGGGAGTCAAGAGACGAGTTACTCACTGCAAGACTTCTAGCTTCTGACCTACTATTACAGTCACAGTACTTATATGGCTAGTCCAGTTCAGTTTAAAGTGAATGGTAAACCCCAAGGTATTGATAGTGAACTATTCAGTGATGATGATGATGCCATTGAATGTCAATGTTAGATTATCTCCTGGAGATGGTTATTGCTTGTCACTCATGTATCGTGAACATTACTTGCCAGTTGCCAGTCAAAACCTGAATATTTAGCTGTTACCGCATTTGGATATAGACTGCTTCAGTATGCAATATCTCGCAAATAGAGCTGCCCAATGTGCAAATATTTGTGAACATCTCCATTTCTGAACTTATGATGGAGGGAAGGTCATTGATAAAGCAGTTGAAGATTGTTGAGCCCAGGACACTTCCCTTAGGAAGTCCTGCAGAGACGTCTGGAGCTGAGATGACTGACCTCCAACAGCCACAACCATCTTCCTTTGTGCCAGGAATGCCTCTAACCAGCAGAAAGTTTCCCCAGATTCCTACTGTCTCCAGTTTTGCCAGAGCTCCTAGAGGCCATACTTGGTCAAATACAGACTTGATATCAAAAGCAGTCACTTGCACCACATCCCTGCAATTCAGCTCCTTTGCCCTCCTTGTAGTGCCTTTTGCATGGCAAAGGCCCCATCACTGCTAGAGAGTTCATGTGACCTGCTGTGAATTCTGCTGACAGTAGACCTGAGGGGTTTGACTAGTAAAGGTTGATACCTGAAGTGGGTTGAAACCTTACATTATTATTAATTGCCCACTTAAAACTTTTAACCGACAATGTGAGAGAGAGGATATCAATTGACCATCATGCCCCAGACTTTGATCAGGGTGGAACCAGGAAGACTGCCCAGCCTCTATCCAACACCACCCTCTCACCTGATTAACTGCGCACTGCCACCAAATCTGTGATGATGCAGGGCATTAAATGGCTTTAGACAGCCCTATAGATAACACAGTGTGGAGCTGGAAGACCACAGCAGGCCAGGCAGCAGAGGAGCAGGAAAGTTGACAGTTCGGGTCAGGACTCTTCTTCAGAAAATGAAGAAGAGTCCCAACCCAAACTGTCAACTTTCCTGCTCCTCTGATGCTGCCTGGCCTGCAGTGTTATCTTTGACTCCAGCATCGGCAATTCTTACTATCTTTAGACATCCCTATGTTTTGATAAATAACTATTGCATAAGATTGTGGATAGAACTGTTCCAGGTGACCTGTTCTGAATTCTGTTGGCAGTAGACCTAGGTGGTTTGGTTGTTAAAGATTAAAGATGGACCTAGGTTGTCTTAGTAGGATGAAGGTGCAAGCTATTTATGTTCTGATTGGATAGAATGCTTGTCTCTAAAGTTTCCATAACGTTTTAAGAATGTCAGGTTGTATAAATAATTATATGTTTTATATCATTAAATACTTTGAGGTAGAATGGATTTGGGAATTGTTATGATCCCAGCTGACGGTAATACTGGACCAATCCCAGACAGAAACCTGATGTGACAAATCATAAGCATTATTTTTGCAATTTGGTTCCCAGGTAATCAGTATTGAACATTTTCACAGGAGGCTGCTGATGTACTTTTAAGAATGAGTATGTTTATTACACAAAAGAAAAGAAACAAATGCTATATGCAATTTCAAAACATAAGCAGCAAGAAAGAAAGATTCAAGCCTTTTTCCAACATGCTTTGCAGACACTGAACCCCAGTGAATGATTACTCTCATCTTCACTCTTTAACATCTTACTCAACTAACGAGGTCACAAGTGTTTCCTTTCAATATTTTTCTGCACATTCACTCAGTTTTGAATCTCTATTTTTCTCCAGCACACACTGACAGAGGCTAACTCATTGACTTTTGTCATGAACTCAAGGCAAAACATTTCCAAAGTGTTTTGGTATCACTTAGTAAACTACTTTTGTGGCAGCCATTCCCCATGGTTCATTGCATAGGAATGGATGGGTCCTTGCAATTGGATTGAAAATATCAATTTCTGGAGAATTTTCCTAGCTTGAGATAATGGGAGAATTTCTGGGACAAGCCCTCACTGAACAACAGCTCTGGGGATCAAAGCCACAGGCTGAGAAAAGAGCAGAAATAAGAACCTTCAGCAGCTAAATATTAATTCAGACTTGTTCTTGGAGAATAAAGCATCTACTTAAGAGATAACATAAAGTATAACCACAAAGTGGGATACTTGTTATTGATAAAAGTTAAAGATGAAAGTACTTTAGACTATATTTCCCTGAAATAATGTTTAGCCAACATTGCCGTTGGCTTGTTTGTTGCAATAAATGTCTTCAGATATGAAACATTGTCATATCATCCTTTCAGCCACTTAGAGGAAGTTTGAATCTATTTTCAAAAATTACTGGCCTCCACGGAGATTGTGCATATCTCCTGAGTCAGCTGTCTGTAAGGGATTTTGGATAATCTCCGATATGGAAAATACAGCAGATGTTATACTGATGCTGTAGAGATGCTCCTTTGAGTTTTCCATAGTTCTTCAACCCATGAACAGGAAAGTTCTCAAATGTAAATAGTTCTGGAAAGACTAGAGGGATTTTTTGCACATCAATTACTTTGCAATACCGAACCTGGGAAATTGGTGCTGATATGGGCAGCCAGAACTGAAATGTTTGTGGTTCCCCACCTTGATGAGCATCGGCTTAAAGTAAAAATTCTTGAAAAGATGCATTTATATTTTCTTAAATATGTCTTCAGTAATTTCCTTTTTTTTTTGAAAAGGTTGTCCACCTAAATGGAAGAATTTTAAGGATAAATGTTATTATTTCTCTGTTGATCTTGTCGAATTTGAAGAAGGAAATAATATATGCAAAAATATGTCATCCAACATGATTATAATTGATAACCATGAAGAACAGGTACAAAAAAGTACAAAATATCTTATTGTTATTTTGCTCCTCTTTGAACGTCTGATGATTGCTTCAGAAATATCAAGAAGAAAGGTCTAGATATTAAAGCAAATTTGGCTTACAGTATTTTTCTTTAACATTCATAAATTGTAGCATAAGAAATTAAGAAAGCATGGAATGAGAAAAGGTTCTTAAACCATGAAAGTGACAAGTGTTGTTTAAGCAAAACTTCAATAGATCGCATTAATCTTACATTGTAATATACTGATCGCCTTTCCTGGTGACAATACCAAGGTTCAGCAGTTCAGAAACTGTTTCATTCCATAAGAGTCCAGGCTGAAAGTTATAACTCTCAATCCCATTCCTAATCATGTCATAATAAATGCAATCGGTATTATAATTGAGCCTGAAACTGGAGGTCATAATCCTAGTGGTCACAATGGCATTGTGCTTATCAGTGTCCTCCAGTACTTAACCTCCCCCAGATTTTGCAGGTCATTGGCAGGGCACCTAATTTCTATGTGAAGCAGTCACTTATATCTCCAGCTGCTGTTTGCCTCATGCAAAAATGAAAGACTTCTGCAAAAAATGTTTAAAGAAGAAGGGTCTAGGCCTGAAACGTCAGCCTTCCTGCTCCTCTGATGCTGCTTGGCCTGCTGTGTTCATCCAGCTCTACACCTTGTTATCTCTGTTTACTGAATGTCTCATCTGCTTTATCACACTGAAGTACTTTTGAAGTATAGTCAATGTTGGGCTAGTAAATCCAGTGCAGATGATCTGATGCTCACCAGTGATTGAGGTGAATAAAGATGACCAGACCCTGTCCACTCAGAATTCAACCATTTTAACTCTCTGTAGAAAGGACCATTCAAAATATTGAAAACAGTTGACATTCTTTAAGATTTGCAGGCTGTTTCCTGGCTAAAGAGTGCAAGTTAGGACAAGTCAGAACACAAATTTAACTTTTGGAATTGAAGTAGTTATGTCATTCTTGTTGTTCAAGCACCTGACTAGCAACCTAATTCTAGAATGAAAAAAAAATGTAGAATGCGTAGCCTTTTTATTAAGCTTCATAAGCACTGGTAAAAACCATGCTTAGAACAGTTCACTTTCAGTCATCATACCACAAATATCGTTATGATCTTGAAGGATTCCATTAACTTCTAAAAAAAAAATTTCAAACTCCCAGTTACTAACTGAAAGAAATTATGACACCAGATTTTGAGTTTTAAACAAAAACATTTATTGTGCAAGAATTAAAGAAAACAGGTGTTACTAATTTAATACATAAATGTTTCATAAATCTTTATCCTTTAAACCTGAAAATCTTACACAGACCACTTCTTGTTTATGCTCAACCCATTCAAGAGTTCCATACAATTTCCAGGATCCTGATAATTTTCTCATTTCTCATGTAAATATGTGCCACTGGCCTTAGGAATTATCTAGGTTTTCCCTCAGCGTTTCTGTTAATCTCCGAGGTATGACATTGAATGCTAATAGAGATTCCAGAGCAATCAGGCACCATATAACATTTTAAGCACCTCACAATTCTGAACACTCTAACTCAAGTATGGGCTTACTGCTTTCTTACTTAGGAGTTTGTTGTTTCTAATGTCATAACCAATTTAGTGAACAATAAATGTTCCAATCCAAATCCTCTGCTGTTGGATTCTATTCATCATGAATACATTCCCCACTTAAGTTTGCCAGTTATTATTTACTTAGCCCACAGCCTAACTGATCCAATCATTCTGACCACACTGTTAACAAGTGACTGCCTTGCCATGAAAGGAGGAACTTGATCCAACAGCAGAATTTTGTGAATTAGAATTTTTTTTTGTTATTTGTTGCCCATCCTTCATTTCTCTTAACTGAGAGCAATTAGCAGTCAGCCACATTGCTGTGGTTCTGGAGTCTCACATAGGCCAGACCACATAAGGATGGCAGACTTCCTTTCATAAAGGGCATTAGTAAACCAAATAAGTTTTCATGACAATAGATGAAAGTTGTCGTGGTCACCACAGCTGAGGTTGGCTTTATAATCCAGTTGCTATAGTGGGATTTGAATCCATATTCCCAGAGGATTAACCTACGCCTAATAGATTTCTATTCCAGTGACATTACCACTATGCTGTCTCCCAATTTTATAGGTCAGCTTGTTTACACATGCAAGTGCAACCAATAAAGTGACACGTCTCTAAACCTAAACTCTTCTGAAGTAAAAAACACTTACAAGTACAATTTTAATAAGGTATTTCAAGAAGAGTCTTATGAAATAGTGGGCTGTATTTTACATATTTGCATGAAAATGTAAAAAATGCTAAATTATTTTAACATGTACTTATCTACAGTGCTAATAAATTGTGCATTTGCATTACAGCAATGGGTCAGAAGGCAAATAAATGGAGTAAATTACTTCTGGATTGGTCTGTCAGACACTGAAGAGCACAATGTGTGGAAATGGGTGGATGGAACCGTTGCAGAATACACGTATGTGTCCATTCTATTATAAAATATAATAATGCTGAAGATTAACTGGAATTACCATTTAGTCATGTAAATCTGATTAACCATGTTGTTCAACTTCAAGTTAAATATGTTATGATTCATGACAGTCACACTTTAGAAAACAATTCTGCACACATTTTAGTTAAAAATTGTTTTCTTTAAATGAATTGATTATCCATACACCTAAAATGTGTTCATGCATGCACAGGTGTGACCTATAACTTCAGCTAGCTACAATGCAGTATGCACAGCGTTTTGTTTTATTCATACATGGAATGAGGTTGTCGCTGGCTGGGCCAACATTCATTGCCCAATGCTAATTGCCCAGAGGACAGTAGAAAGTCAACCACATTGCTGTGGGTCTGGAGTCACATGTAGGCCAGACCAGGTAAGGATGGCAGTTTCCTTCCCTAAAGGACATTAGTGAACTAGATGGATTTTTCGACAAATGGATTCATGGTCATCGTCAGACTCTGAATTCCAGATTCTTGTTGAATTCACATTCCACCATCCACCATGACAGGATTCAAACCCTGAGTCCCTGAACAGTACCTGGGTCACTGGATTAACAATCCAACAATAATACCACTAAGCCATTGCCTCGCCCTTATCACTCTGCATGTGTCCCACTGCTGCCACCTCACTGTTAGGCTCTCACTGCCTGCCATGCTGCAGGGGTTATTTCCGCTATAACCTTTGCTGTGGGATTTTTTCAAATACCTTCTGGAAATCTAAGTTCTATATATCTACTGGTCCCCCTTTATCCACAATGTTACTTCCTTAAAGAACTCCAACAGATTGGTTGAACACTTAGTGGCAGTAAATGGGTGTTAAAGGCTGAAAAGGTGGCAGCAACATGACAGTTGTGAAAATGTTTTTTTAATAACTGCCCATTAATCTACCCAAATTTGAGCAGAAGTTACAACTATCTCCGGAATGAAACTAGTGCAACTAAAACTAAAACATACAGCCCATAGTACATTTATATCACCCTCTCTTTTAAAAAAAAGAGACACTGCTGATCCAATTTTTAAAAAGAAAGTTTTAAATGGTCCTGAAAGGACAGCTCCACAGTGCTTCTAGTGCAAAATAGAGTTTAAAAACACTAAAAAGTGGATTTCTAAATTTAAAAAGGCTTACCTATGTCCAGACATCAGTCACTTCGCTACTTTGTTTCCAAATAAATGTAAAAAACTGCATGATATCATCATGCCTTTCTTGATTTGAATGCCACTTACAGACAAAAACCTGCACAAAAAGCCTGCAAATCCTAAGGTCTCAGCAACATACAATAGAAAAGAAACCAACTAAAACACAGAAAAGCGCTATACAGCTGTACAGATTTTTAGAGAGTGTAAAGCCACAAAAGAGAGATGGTAATTAAACATCTTTGAAATTCTGTTATTATAAAAGAAATTGCATTATGGATCAGCAAACCTATTATTGTTTGGGGATTTGAAGATTTAAGAATAAAGTTCACTTTTACTTTTATTAATGACAGCAAAGATCCTGAGAAAACCATTCAGATTTTCGTAGTTTATCTTAAATCTTGAGTCAATTTCTAGTTATGCAAACGTGAGTTCATGTTATACTATTAATAGCCACATGCAATGATCAATTTGTAGGCCATGATCAGTTTGATACAAGACACTCAAACTTATCATTACCTCTACACCTAACGAATCTTTCTGAAAGACAATCATACACAAATGTACGAAATACACCACAGATGCACTGTTGGAGGAAGATTGTGATTTCAAAGCAATTGCAGCAGGCCAGCAGCATCTGGAAATGCTTGATTCTAGAACAGCTGTCGCAGCTGTCAACACATTCAGTGGAACTTCTGAACTTGCATGTTTCTTACATTACCTCCAAGAGGATATTGGGCTAAACTATGCAGGAACTCGAGTTACCCAGAAAACCTAGAGAGTTGGCATATTGAATAACTAAGGCTGTGGTGAGAGCTTTAATCTAGGTGGGGTGGGAGGTTTCTGGAGACAGGATATGTCATCTTCTCAAGCAAAAGGATATAGCTGGATTGCAGGGCACCTACTTAGGTCATGATACCCAGAGTGGAACAGAAAGGGACAGAGTTGTCAAATGTAAAAACACAGCAGGAAATACGGTCAAAAGAGAAAAAAGGGTACAGAAAGATAAAATTAACGGCTTTTTGAATTAACAGCTCAAATAAAGTTCATGGATATAGTTTTATAGCCACGATGAAGGTATAATTGCAAGGAGATCAAAGTTAGGAACTAAATATTCAAGAATATGTGATTTTTCGAATGTATGAGTAGGAAAGAAAGGATGGTCGGACAGCCTTGTGGATACAAGATAGAATAAGTGTGATGGCAAGAAATGATCTTGAAATGGAAGGTATAAAATCCATATGAGTAGTGGTAAGAAATAAAGGGAAGAAGATCCTTGTGGGAGTCATCAATAGGCCCCCTAACAGTTTTTGTACTGTATGACAGAGAATAAACTAGGAAATAATGAATGCACATAAAAAAGGCAGCACATTAATCATGGGTGACTTTAATCTTCGCGTAGATTGGGAAAATCAAACTGGCAGGGGAAGAATTCATCGTTGTATTTGGGACTGTTTGCTAGAAGGATATATAGTTGATCCAACCAGGGATTAGGCTACTTTTGGATCTGGTAACGTGAAATGAGGTGGGTTTACTAAATTATCTCCTAGGAAATAGTGACCATAACATGGTAGAATTTAGTATTCAGTTTGCAAGTAAGAAACTGAGGTAGAACGTAGAACATAGAACATAGAACATTACAGCGCAGTACAGGCCCTTCGGCCCTCGATGTTGCGCCGACCTGTGAAACCAATCTGAAGCCCATCTAACCTAAACTATTCCATTATCGTCCATATGTTTATCCAATGACCATTTAAATGCCCTTAAAGTGGGCGAGTCTACTATTTTTGCAGGCAGGGCATTCCACGCCCTTACTACTCTCTGAGTAAAGAACCTACCTCTGACATCTGTCCTATATCTATCACCCCTCAATTTAAAGCTATGTCCCCTCGTGCTAGCCATCACCATCCGAGGAAAAAGGCTCCCACTGTCCACCCTATCTAATCCTCTGATCATCTTGTATGTCTCTATCAAGTCACCTCTTAACCTTCTTCTCTCTAACGAAAACAGCCTCAAAACCCTCAGCCTTTCCTCATAAGAACTTCCCTCCATACCAGGCAACATCCTGGTAAATCTCCTCTGCACCCTTTCCAATGCTTCCACATCCTTCCTATAATGCGGTGACCAGAACTGTACGCAATACTCCAAGTGCGGCCGCACCAGAGTTTTGTACAGCTGCAACATGACCTCATGGCTCCGAAACTCAATCCCTCTACCAATAAAACCTAACATACTGTACGCCTTCTTAACAACGCTATCAACCTGGGTGGCAACTTTCAGTGATCTATGCACATGGACACCGAGATCTTTCTGCTCATCCACACTACCAAGAATCTTACCATTAGCCCAGTACTCTGTATTCCTGTTACTCCTTCCAAAGTGAATCACCTCACACTTTTCCACATTAAACTCCATTTGCCACCTCTCAGCCCAGCTCTGCAGCTTATCTATGTCCCTCTGTAACCTACAACATCCTTCTGCACTATCCACAACTCCACCGACTTTGGTGTCATCCGCAAATTTACTAACCCATCCTTCTACGCCCTCATCCAGGTCATTTATAAAAATGACAAACAGCAGTGGCCCCAAAACAGATCCTTGAGGTACACCACTAGTAACTGAACTCCAGGATGAACATTTCCCATCAACCACCACCCTCTGTCTTCTTACAGCTAGCCAATTTCTGATCCAAACCGCTAAATCACCCTCAATCCCATGCCTCCGTATTTTCTGCAATAGCCTACCATGGGGAACCTTATCAAATGCTTTACTGAAATCCAAATACACCACATCAACCGCTTTACCCTCATCCACCTGTTTGGTCACCTTCTCGAAGAACTCAATAAGGTTTGTGAGGCACGACCTACCCTTCACAAAACCGTGTTGACTATCCCTAATCAAATTATTCCTTTCTAGATGATTATAAATCCTATCTCTTATAATCCTTTCCAACACTTTACCCACAACCGAAGTAAGGCTCACTGGTCTATAATTACCAGGGTTGTCTCTACTCCCCTTCTTGAACAAGGGGACAACATTTGCTAGTCTCCAGTCTTCTGGCACTATTCCTGAAGACAATGACGACATAAAGATCAAAGCCAAAGGCTCTGCAATCTCCTCTCTAGCTTCCCAGAGAATCCTAGGATAAATCCCATCCGGCCCAGGGGACTTATCTATTTTCACACCCTCCAGAATTGCTAACACCGCCTCCTTATGAACCTCAATCCCGTCTAGTCTAATAGACTGTATTCTCCTCGACTACATTGTCTTTTTCCTGCGTGAATACTGACGAAAAATATTCATTTAGCACCTCTCCTATCTCTTAGGACTCCACGCACAACTTCCCACTACTGTCCTTGACCGGCCCCAATCTTACTCTAGTCATTCTTTTATTCCTGACATACCTATAGAAAGCTTTAGGGTTTTCCTTGATCCTACCTGCTAAAGACTTCTCATGTCCCCTCCTGGTTCTTCTTAGCTCTCTCTTTAGGTCCTTCCTGGCTAACTTGTAACTCTCAAGCGCCCTCACTGAGCCTTCACGCTTCATCTCTACATAAGCCTCCTTTTTCCTCTTGACAAGAAATTCAACTTCTTTAGTAAACCACGGTTCCCTCGCTCGACCACTTCCTCCCTGCCTGACAGGTACATACTTCTCAAGGACACGCAGTAGCTGTTCCTTGAACAAGCTCCACATTTCAATTGTGCCCAGCCCCTGCAGTTTCCTTCTCCATCCTATGCATCCTAAATCTTGCCTCATCGCCTCATAGTTGCCTTTCCCCCAGCTATAACTCTCGCCCTGCTTTATATACAGATCCCTTTCCATCGCTAAAGTAA